TTTTAATGATTCTCACTCTTTAGGATGGGGAAGCCAGGAGGTACTGCCTCGAGGAACAGAGGACATTTTACAAAAGAACTATTCCATTTCAAGCACGCTGCAAGAAATAGAAGTGCCATTGAACGTGACATGGAGGCATTGCCTGTTATCTTCTAGAATTAAGCATGCATATTCCCCAGGCCATTATCACAAGGTATTCTGCGGAGGTGAAAAAACAAACAACACTGAAATGGCTCAAGGAGGCTGTATTGGTGATTCTGGATCTCCCTTGGTTTGTGAAGGGAGCAACGGTGTAGCGTTGTTTGGTTTGATGATAGGTGGAGACAAACGCTGTATTCCAGGAGGGAGCTATATGGGATTTGCTGATATTGCAAAGCATCACATGTGGTTGATTTCGTCAATTAAGGGTTAAAATTCATGTCTTTCTCTAATCTCCGAAGAAATTTAATTTAAAAGTAGGAGTATTTGAACACGAGACATATTTCAACAATGTTTTTAAAATGAATCTCGCTTAATGAAAATATATTTTATTCATCTTGCTATTTCTGAAAGACAACATCTTTTTAGTCTTTTTAGGGCTTCGAGGATTTAGTTTTTTTAGAGACAAAAGACGTAACTCTGATTCAGAGATTAAGTCTATGACAAGGAGCACTTGGCTGTCAACCCTCCAACAACGTTTTTTCATTTTTTTAAAGGAACCTCAGAAACGTTTTATGATCTTTTTTGCATCGTGATATGATTTGAGGAAAAGTTTAAGAGCACCATTAACAAGCCTTTCTCTCGCTTTGCTGTTAGTTACAAAGTTTACTTTGTGGGTGGAAATACTTTTATTAGGTTTTTCCATGTGCAGTTCTACACAAAACGTGCAGTTAGAATACATGAGATTCTAAAGAGTTGGAATGAATATATTACAAGTCTAAAGAGACATATGTGCAATGATTATAATTTCTAGTAAAAGAAATAAAGTCTAGTAAAAAAGAAATAAAGAGCACCGAGACACAAAAAGAGCTTTAGAAACAGGTCATTGTGCAAATAAATGAGCTCAATGCTTTTTGCAATAAAACGACTTTGCAAAAACACGTGGAATTAGGGGTCTAGAAAGAATGAAAAAGTAATCAGCTGCTACTAACAGTGGATTTGGTACAAGCGAAAGTTGTTTTGCTTTTCTACTAGGGTATGATGCCCTGTCCATCAATAACGTCCTGCTGTCCAGAGTAAGTACTGACCTCATTTTATCAAAGAATCATATACATTTCACTATTGGAAAGAAGCAAGAAATTTTATCAAGCTATTACCGAGCTTTTTCCATTCAATTATCACTGCTTTGATAGACTTATTTTTTACCAAGCGCCTTCTCGAAATGGCATTTTCCCAATCCTTTGCATCCAAAGAGAGACCACTCCTCTAAGTTTAAGTGCAATGAAAATTTTCTGAAAATATTGATGATGTTAGCTCAATTTTAATAACGAGGTAGTGTGCTGGAATTTAGAATCATTCTTTACGCACAATTCCCACTGAAATGGATTGCAGCGCTAAATTTTCCTTGGTTTTACACCACTTCCTCTCCTAGACAAAAAAAGTTGATTTTCCTTTGTATGATTCCCATTTTAAAAAACTTATGAAAAATTCATAAAAAGTGAAAGCTAAATTTATCAATTAAAATAACATGCACACATCTAAGACTAACTTTTGAAAGATTTAAACGATTTGATGATTGCTCAGCTGGGGTCACAATATCGACTATCGATAATTTTCATAATTTTCAAAAAGTTCATAGATTTCAAATTGTAGATAAATACCAACAGAGGATAAACAATTTTTTTCTTCTCTTTTAATTGTTTTCAGATTGACGTATTGATAGAATATTCAGTTAAAATTTGGTTTTAGTCTCATACATTGTTTTTGAGAAAATGCAATCATACAATCATACATCGGATTTAAATGCTATTATGACTGATCAGGTAGGGTCATAATTTCGGATTTTCATAATCTTTGTTTATAGATTCCAAACTGCAAAATTAATACCAACATTGAAATGGTGAGTAACAAAGATTTATTCAAAAGCCTTGCTTTGCTTCAAAGTTCGGAGCCCCTCAGCCTCGCTTTGGATAATGGCGGGAAAGGTTGACAGCATAGTGACGAAAGGAGCAGTTCAGACGCCGCTTGATTTGAAATATTTGCAAGTCAAAACAAAGATGCTAGTTTACATTAAGTCTCTAGCAAACTTCGTCATTCCAAGTGAGTTTGATAGTTTATTTAATTGAATATCTTCAGGTAAGATAGCTGTGCTGAATGTGAAATGGGGCAATGTTTCATATAAACAATATGCACTAGATCCCGGCCTAATATTCTATGATGATTTACAATGTCAAATTAAAACATTCGGCCTATGTTTTCTTTTGCACAGTGGTGTAGTGCTGTCAAAATAACGAGGGACGTTCTTGTACTGAAACTGTTGCGAAAACAGCCCCTTGAGCCCCCCCCCCCTAGCACTACACCCCACGATACGTCTATTGAGAATATATAACGAATGTATATTCAAGCATCCTAAGCCATAAATTTATGAAAAAGCTGCTGCATATCCCTGTTGGACGGCAATTCTAGGAATTTATCTATAGTGTGTATATCTTCTAAAGCAATGAGAATGTGAGCATAAGTGAGATTTGAAGCCATATTTGCTTCTATAGCCATACAAGCAACCAACAGGAATCTGAGTTAACCAATACAATTGTTAACAATGGACCAATGCAGTTGTTTTTTGCAACCAATGAAGTGAAAGTTGTCAAGCTAAGTCAGTCAGGCTTGGTAGTGTAGTAGTGGTAGTCAACTGCATTACCAATGGCTCTAGTTCAGGTTTTTATCCCTTTGTGGGTCCGTTTCCTTGATTTCCTTTTTCAATCCCCGTTTTTAATATCAAAAAATAGGTGTTACCCACATTAAGGCACGGCTCCTCTTTCTGACAACCTCAGCACAGGTCAGGATTCAGCAGGCACCGCAGAGCGTTGAGAAAAATGGGGGTTTAAAAAAGTGGGGGGGGGGGACCAAAACTGACTAAAATAAGGATTTAATGGTAGTTTATTACTTAATAATTGGAAGTTTTGGCAAGTACCAAAAAGCGATAAAAAGTGCCCCATCCCCCCTGCTCTACGGTGCCGTTTTGGCAAGATCCTTGCCTGCTTTTAGCAATATAAATGTTCATTACTCTAAATTGTTTGTTTTGCATAAGTTTGACAATGTTGAGGGATTTTGTTGGATTGTCAAATTAATGGTCCTTAGAAAGGTTAAGGAAATAATATGATCATTAAGCCCCATTCAGTCAATAAATTAATGATCAATGCATATATTTTGAAGAATTGATAATTGCTAATCATGCTTACCTAAAGACAAAGGAATTTCTCTGAAAAGTGCTCACATTAATCGTAACCTTCCTTCATTTTCTATTTTTGATCCATCACCAGTCATCTGAATTGCTGAAGATGAGCTTTAAGTAGTATGTTGTGAAATGTTTGCTTTTTCAAAGCTATAATTTTTTATCTTGTGCAACCTAATATGCAGGAAATACTCTGTGTGTAGGTTTTATTTTTTTCCTATGCTGACACCAATTTGCCTAGTTACTTCCTGAAAATATCATGATAAACAGGAGGATCAATGTCCAAAATATTTGTAGACTTAATGTTTGCTTGGTCTGCCTCCATCTCGCAAAGCAATATGTCAATTAAGCAAGCAAAACTACCAGCAGTTTGAAATTCATAATTATTCAATATTTTTGTTGATTGAGCAGAGGTTCAGGTATTGAGAAAGGGGTCTTTTGAAGCAAGCTTTGAAACCAATTGCCAATGCTTTCAAATATTCCACTTTTGCCTAGGCCATTTCCCTGAAAGATTTGTTGCAATATGATTCTGCAACATAATGCTTCTCTTAGTTGCATTTATGTCTATATTTTCTTTTTGTGTCATTGCCAGACATTAGCAAATAGTTATCTATACCTGTATTATGACACACGACCTGAATTGTAAAGTAGCAGGGTATACCTTTGCTAAATGTTATTATATAGAACAATGCTATGGTATTATACACACCAAATGCTTTTTTGCAGTAAAATATTGTTTCCTGACTAAATTTCTCTAATTTATACCCTAACAATTAAGAAAAAGTTTAGAACAATAAAGCCTCAAAGTTCTAAAAATGTAAAGAATAGCCAACCTGAACCTCAATTTTCTAGCTTATGTACAAAAAAGTGTTTGTTGCTAAGTAATATTCTAAATGGTTAAAATAAACAGCAGTTTGCAAGAGCTAATCTTTTTGAATCAAAAAACTTTCTCAATTAAATAAAATAATAAATATTATGCATTGGGAATATTATGCTTTTGCAGTAATAGTGAGCTATGACCAGATTGTGATGGACTGATTTTAATTCTCGATGTTTTTTATAGACTTACCTCACAGGCCTAACAGGTAGCAGAGTGCAAGGCAGTTTGAAGGGGCACTGCCCCAGTTTCCCACTGGCCCAGTCCTTGTCTTTTAATCTAAGTTATCACACACAAATTGCTGTTTGAGTGGTGCATAGGAGGTTTTTCATTCTACTTTCTTCAACAAGCAACAGTCATGTTTGTTAGAATTATCTCGAAAGGATTCACAAAAGCGTTTGCTTTATTTTATCATTAAACAGAACATAATATTTCACTGCATGTTTTTTAACACATTGACATATATTTGAGTAGTTAGCCATATATTCTTATTTGTATAATCTGCTTGCTAACCATCTGACCCAGGCTCTGACGTCAGTGGCTATCACTGCATTTGGCTTGCATTCAATGTCCCCACCAATACTGATTCCTAAGAGAAATTTGCCTTTCTCTGATTCACAGACAATGGGGGATCCAGAATCACCGATACAGCCTCCGTTTGTGAAAATCATGTCCTTGTCTGTTTTTGCAAAGCATATCTTTTTACTTGGCTCAAAACCTTTGCAAAATGTTTTGAAGTCAACCACTGAACCATCAATCTCCTTTAGTTTTTTTGCTAGATGATAGTTTCCAGTTTTGTAATCATCGCGAGTCATTTGCTTTGTTGCTCCCCAACCTTCATGAAATAAAAATAAAAACACTTTAGAAATCTAATCATTTTAACTTTGAAATTACAAGGAGCTCACCGAGGTGGTATAAGCAGCAGAAGAAGGGAACTCCTTCTTACTGGCAACCAGTCTGCATAAAAGAAACAAAGTTGAAAATAAGGGCTTCAAGTGATTTAGCCTTCGATCAGTCATGGTACTTTGCCATCTTTCTAACGCCATCATAAGATTCAATTGATCAGTGTTGTCAGGTCATTTTTTTATTAAAATATGCCAGCAATGTTTGGCAAAATGTGTACAAAAAGGCGTTCCATAAAAACAATTCAGATTCTGGGGCTTCTTCTATGTTACTGCACACAGGCTTAATCATCAACCTAACAAAGTATTTATACACTCATTTTTTTCATTAGAAATTTATCACGAGATCGGCAAGTTTTTAAATACCAAATGCTACAGAGCAATTTTATTAAGTGCATAATCGTAATATGATGTAGCCTTTCCACTAGCCTGGGTTAAAACAAAACCGGGTTAAAAGTTATCCGTTTTTGAAGTGAGTCAGTGGAAATGGCAATTTTCTTCGACCCGTTTTTGATCGTTCCCATTAAGCCGGGTTAAAATGTATTCAGGGTGAAAAGTTGTGAGAGAAATCAGTATTTGCATCAATGATCCTTCAATCTTAATTGTTGTAGGCCAATGGAAGCAACATCGACATCGAGGATTTTGGTTTTTGATTTTTGGCGACATCTCAATTCTTAAACGTTGCTGTTGTTGCAAGTGGGTCAGAAGTTATCCAGGTTTCGGCGTTTCCATTAACTCGCAGGTGGGTCAAAAGATGCCCGGGTGAAAACTGTCCTTCTCTGAGATCCGTTTTCAAACTTTTTTCAAGTAGGTTAGTGGAAACGCGACGCAGAAACGGATAACGTTTAACCCGTTTTTGTTTTAACCCGGGCTAGTGGAAAGGCTGCCTGAGATGAAATAAAACAGACAACGTAATAAGTAACAAGAAGCTCTTCGTTCTATTTACCTTAGTCCATTAAGAGTAAAAATAGGTGCTTACTCATCAAATAGAATCTTTAACACTTCCTCTTTAAAAGAAATATTTTTTTAGCTATTTTTTAATGATGAATTTTAAGGGTGCGTGACATTTTGTAATCTTAGAGATCGGTTTCTTATAGATGGCCTCTTACAAAAAATAAGAATATCTGCACGGAGAGATCGTTTTGCTGAATTGTATGACATCAAACAACCCAAAAGCCCGTTAAAACACCAGGAAATAATCAACCGAATATTTATCTTTGCGCTACTATCAAATCAAGTATATAAAATCTCTGTTTTGTTGATGATATATATACTGCCACTATCCTTGTACCTTATATATGTTCAACGTTTATGCAATAAAGAAAACCCACAAATTAAACTCTTGATAATTTAATGCTTATGAATATTCGCTTAAAATAAAGAGACTATAAGCACCCACCTGCCGCTGTACAGTTGAACAGTCTTCTTGGAGTGCTTCTGTACTGAATTTTTTCCATGAACTCCGGTGCCTCTTTTTCCAGCTGAACGAGGGCAATGTCATTGTCAAACATCATTCTTGTATGCTCAACATTTGGGTATGGTGGTGTGTAGAAGTGAGCTACCGCATGCTCGACCACTCTGTCCACGCCTTCATCTATAAAAAAGACAAAAAATAAGTCCAAGTTTTTTGACAAAGTTCTGAAAATTTTAAGATGACAGAATTTCCTTATTTAATGTAGCATTAAGGATGGGAGGAGTCGAGTGAGGAGTGTCGTCAGCTCTTTGTTATTCCAGGAATAAGCAACACGAGGTTTGACCCAAAACGAGGCAAGACCAGGGCACTGCTCAATAGGCATAGCTTCACGGTGTCCTATAAGCTATTTTCAGATGCCATATAGAAAAATACAACAAAATGCGACATTAAGAATAAATGTTTGGTTTATCACTACCTTCTTATGTTTGCGAACCTAGGTAATAAAACGTATTTTAGAATCAAACTCAATAAATAACCCTTACCAGCCTTTAAAGAAAGTAATTAAATGTTTAAATGCAAATTTAATTTTCTCAATATTTTTCTGCACATAACTTAAACTGAACGTCATGTAAGATAGAGAAAATAATTTTGACCGTAGTTTGAACTTCCTTAATTAATTTCCAACTTAGAAAGGTGCTGAAAGTTTCAAATAACAAGGTAGAAATGAAGTAAGAAAGATTCCGAACTTTATGGATTTTCTTTTCTTAAGTAACCATTATTTCAAACGCAAAATGCTTAAAAGCCTCTTATAAGCGGATGGTAGAGGAATTTACATTTGTTACTGATCATTTGTTGTATGCATATTAATATCATGCCTGCTGAATGGGCATAATGAGCTGACAGGGAGAACTTTCTGGATATTGCTCGAGTTTGTCCAGTTCTTTTCTATGTTTAATCTTTTGCCTTGCTTAACTCTTCGAATGTATACGGGATTACGCTCTAGAATTGTGCAGCTGGTGCAATACAGAAGAGTGTTTTTCCCATATGAGAATGGTGTGACCTACTTAGCTTGATCCTGCACATGCTCCATCTCCATAACGCTTAAATGAATTACCTAACAGTTTTAGCGGTAGAAATAGAAATAGGTATATAAATGTATATTAATTTAGTTGTGGTAAACCAAGCCTTTTCGGCCTTTATCAATGCTCCCACATTTCGAATTAAGCTTTCTTATGACCTTCGTAATCGTATTACTATGACATAAGCGAATGATCTTGTTGTAAATAGTCTATTTACAACAGGGTGTGGAACGCTTAGAATAGGGAGCTCATTAGAGAGAAATGTTTTGAATATGAAGGTCGAGTCAATGATTTCATCTTTGAACCTCTTTACTCTCGATTTTTGTCTTCTTTGATTTTAGTTTTATAATAAAACGAAAATACTAGTATAAAAAAGAATGCTTATCAGTTAATTTTTACATCTTAATACAGCCTCAGGCATTATATGAGGGATTAGGCCCATTATTGGTTTTCGGCTTCATGGGCTCGGTCCGACTTTTACATGCGGCCTACTGTCTAGCAATGGGCTTGCTGCGGATTACGGCCTCAGTATACTATAAGTCTTGCGTTGCGTCTTTTGCCGCCTTCCCGTTACAGGTAGGGAAAAGATGGGGGAATACATGTAGGGGGAACATGGGGGAAGAATCTCAATAGGAAGGCACCGGCATACCAGTGTATCCATGGTTCTAAAGACAATAGTGCTGTTGTTATTGCTGTATGCAACTTACGCAATATGACAGAGAAATCGCTTGCGTTTATGTTGATGGATTCTCTGTTTCTGACGCAATGCGCAGCAGTAAGGAGCCATCGAGATTCGATCAGTGCTCCAGAACAGGTCTTCCAAGCAACGTTGGCCGCGTGGTTGTACTTGAATTTTGCGTGAAACTTCCATTCCTCCTTTTTGGCATCTCGACTGTTGACAAATCGTCGATATCTGTAAAGAGAATACGCATGCTTTTTTGATTCAGAAAATCAACATAACCCAAATGACACATTGAGCCAAATACCCAAAGAGTCCAAAGTGGGCCAAAAACACAATCAGTCGACAACGCAAAGAGCAAGAGACTGCTATTCTGTGAACACTGAACTTTGATAACAAGAGAGTTTGAGAATCTTAATTCTTATGACAATTTTAATCAAGGAGTTCCTTGTTTAAAACTGATTTACTCACAGAAAGTTTCTTTGGCTTAAGCTTTCTATCGAACTTTTTTCGGAATCCTTTTGGCAAAAAACCCTCTAACTTTGAGTGTTCATTTTCATATGTTTCATAGGCAAAATATGCGCCAAGAGAGAATTCACTTCAAATATTCAGTTTAACGCTTTGTCGTAGAAACCATTTTCGCTATCAATGAAGTCAAATCCTCAAAGTAAAAATTTAAAAATGCAACATGAATGCTGTTAACCCAATTGCGTAACTAGGGATTTATTGAGGTGTGCGAAGCGAAGAGTTTTGTATCTAATCAAATTATCTGCATGGACAATCCACGAATAAAAAGAGAGAGCAAAGTGGAGGGAGCTAACAAGGACGGATAAGCTGGGCCAGGTTAAGGTGAATGCTATGCATTCAGCAGCATTAAGCCCATTCTAGGCCCTGATGAAGGCAGACGAGAATTTTCCTAAAGCTGAATAGGCCTAAAAGTTGGCCCTTTTTGTGCTGCCCTGCACTTGTGGGTAAGGAAGCGTTTCTAAGCTCTACTCGTCAGATCGTTTCACTGTTATCAGAAGGTGCGTCTGCATTCACACACTTATACAAAGTTATTGCTACTGCATTAAATCTTTTGAATTTAAATGAAAAGGAAATCGTCTTCTATCACAAGTATAAGGCGTGACTTGTTTCCAAAGCACCAAACTTCGGCCTAATGTTGAACAAAAACGATTATTAACAACCATTCCTTTTTTCCGGATACTTATAATTTTGCGTTTATTTTCTTACGAGGATGAAATTAAATACATTATTTTACGAGGATGAGAAGTTTGAAAACCTATAAGACGTTTGGCAACAAAATCGTTCCCGGTAAAACTTTTCACACTCATTCTCTAGACATGTTCATATCCCTTAAATAGACTGTTTACCTTACTTTGTCATAAGTTCAATGTCATTGGCACCTCGTGAACGTATACGTGAAACAGAATTCGAGTTTTCAGTTCAAATCTAAAGTTAGAAATTAAGCACCAAGAAGTTTGAAACGTTTTTCAAAACGAGGCCTGAAGTTGAATTGGAGCGTTTCAGAATGATACCAAAAAGCCGAATTATTTCACGTCATAACTGTTCTTCGTCAAAGTAGAATGTGCTGTGACAATAAAGCTGACAATTGCTAGTGGTTGTAGTACATCATTCATTGTGGTAGACTTGAAATCAAATTTAAGATTAATACCTCTCACTTGATCTGATACTCGATCCTGAAGTACATGCTATCCCAATTACAAAGAACCACAGCATAACTGTGCAACTGAAACAGAAGAGCAAAGCTAGAAACAAGTTGGAAATTGAAACAAACTCTAGACAATTGAAAATTTGGGATTTCAATAGCGGGATGATATCTACATAATGTTTGGGTAACTAGTTACCCCCTCTCTCTATCCCTATTTTTCTATCTCTCCCTTCCTCACAACCTCTCATTTCCCCTCCCTCTCTTCTTTCTCTTCTTACCTTTGCGCCTTCTCATCTTTCCCCATCCCCCATTTCCCCTTCACCTCCCAAAAACCTTTTCCCCTCCCTTTCTCATTTCCCCTTCCTCACTCCTTTCTCCTCCCTCTCTCCTTTCTCTCTCGCCCTTTCCCCATTTCCCATTTCCCCATCTTTCATTCCCCGCTCCCTCTTCCCTTTCCTCTTGCTTTCTTTTACCTCGTTTCTCTCCCCTTTTTTACCTTCTCTTTTTTCCATTCTCTCTCTCCCTTCTCCTCCTTTTCTCGTTTCTCTTCCCACATTTCTGCTCTCTCCCCTTTTCCCCATCTCCCATTTCCCCTCCCTCTCCCCTTTCGCTCTTCTTCCTATTGCTTCTTTCTTCTCCTTCCTCTCTCTCACCTTCCCCCTCTCCCCTGTTCTATCCCTACCTCTTTCCCCCTTTCTCTTTTCCGCTATCCCCCTCTTCCATTTCCCATCTCACTTCCTATCCCCCTCTTATTCTAACTCTAGGGAACGAGTCTCTCGGGAAAGGTATCGAAGATTCCTCTGTCAGATAAACAATCTAAAAAAGCCATTCATTCGAATAGCTAAAGTAAAATCGATTTTTTAGAGACATAGTTTTACATTAAACTTCGACGTATTTGAACTGACACTTTTTCTGAGTACATTGAATCCATTTTCATTTCAATTTTCTAAGTACATTAAACACATTTAGTTATTCAACCCCATGGAGAAATCAGGGGATTATAAGCAAGGATGCACCCCGACAGCAAAATTCAAACAGTTTTTTGATGAAAAAACCTCAGAAAACATTTATGATTCTTTCCCTGACCCCAATAAAATTCGCGCAACCATTTTCCTTGACTTATCAACATCTAACAAATTCCAAATCTGCTGTCATCATCGTTCTATTAGTTGGTCCAATTCTCTGATATCTTTTGTTGGAACCTCTTCTAATTTGCCAGTCCTGTAGCTTTTCCAGAGTTTGGTCTCTAATTGGTCTCAATGGCAAAACCGTCACATCCTAGTCCGTTTTACGGTCCGTACGTAAGTTGCTTCCAGTCTCTGTAATTTCCCATATACGGTCTGTTAAATATTCCCCTACGATCCTTTCTGTGCATTGCAAAAGTTAATAATTACTGTGTAAAAATGTTGTTCATGTCGCAAAGTATAGATCGAGTCGTCTTTCCCGCTCTCTATCTTTCCTATCAATTGTTGTGATATATAAAATTGTCTGTTGCAGGTGACAGTTCAATGTACTGCTAATCAAGGCTATTTGGTTTCTTACCGAGATTCGGTCCTACTTGAATCATGTGCAAGGTATTAACGAAATATTATCAACTATTTCTTATATCAGAATGCTTATAAATCTATAGCTTACAAAAGTGAAACTATCCGTGATCAATGATCAATTAATTCAAACAAGGGTTGTCCGAATGGATAGTATCCAAGCCTTTCATTTTTGGAGATTATTAGCTTGAAAATGTTTCGGTTATTTAGTTACATATACTGTTTGTGCTAAGCCCGGTTTTCTTGAGGTTACATGGAACTGAAAAATGCGGCACCTCTTCAATTTTGCATGCCTTAGAAAAAATTCATGTTATGCAACTGTATGCGCATGACTAAGTTGAATAGTTGCGCCTGCTTGCTTTTGAAAGCCGCGTCGGGAGGTTCATGCTTTGCACTCTGGAACCTGTTCATGATTAGGTAGTGCTTTTTAAGTGTATGAAATTTAAAACAGAGGAGAGTGGCTAATGAAAATATAAACGTCTTAAGTGTTTTGGTGCTCCTGTAACAAATAGCTAGAAGTAATAAAGCCATCGATCCCGATCGATCCGTACCTTTTATGCGCAAAAGGCAATATTTCAACATATCTTTCCATAACAGCAATACCACCGCTGCCTATGTATATGGACAGTTTATCTGAGAACTTACTCTTTGATACAAAGCGTTGCACAACTTCCGAAATTCTTCTGCTGTGTCAAATACATAATTCTAGGGTAACAAGTTGTGTCTTTGCACATTTTCATGGCTTTTCTATGCATCGTCTTATTTACCTATATATTGTTACTATACTTTACCAAGTTATAAAGATCAACAAACGACTTTATGAGAAAGTTTCAAGAAGATTTAAAACAACTTTAACCCTAAACAACTGGCAAAGAATTTAAGCTATCAGATAATAAAGAATTGGAATTTGAGCCATGCCTCTTTGAAGAATGAATGAACGTAAACAGTCTACTCACAATTGCTGCGAAATCGACGTGTTTTTGACTCCCTCTGTGGGTCTATGGTTTCTTCTGCCTTCCTTTGAATATATCTATGCCCAGCTGCAGCATGAATAACAGGGGGTTTGTAGTGCATTTTCACCATTTGAAATCAATGTCTATTTTAATGCGGCAAAAAGCAAATTTTTTTGTCTGTTTGCCTTTTTGAACATTTTTAATCACTCACTGGTTTAGGAAGTCCAAAAATATCCCTTGTGGTTTGTTTGCCCTCTCATGTTGAAAGAGTAAAGAATTCTGCTGCCTAATCCATTTCAGGCTTTGTCAGGGATTGTGAGAGAAAGGGGGAAGCTCAGGTGAAAGAAAACCCCAGGAACCGCAACCGCTATTTGGTCCTGAAGAAATTCAATGCCTGTATAAATAGGGCTAATTAGCCTCTGGCCAACGTCAAAAGGTTTTCCTGTAACAAGTTTTTCTATTTTCAATATTCTTTAAAATTCTTAAAAAGTCTTTAAAAATTAAAGACTTAATTAAGTCTTTAAAAAACTTAATTTTTAAAGACTTAATTAAAGACTTTAATTAAGTCTTTAGAAGGCTGAACGGAAATTAAAATTGCATTTTATATACAATATTTAGATATAAATTTTACAATATGTTTGTGGAATTATGCATAGAAACTAGAAGAAAATTTCAATGTACCTCACGATCAGGTAGCATGGGGCGGTGTTAATATCAGGGCCCTCGCCAAGGGGGGGGGGCGGATGGGTCATGGTGTCCCCACTTTTTCACAAAATAAAAAATTCAAATAAACTCAACTCGTTTATATAGATTAGCCTCTAGGTTCCAATATTGAACAAAAGTCCACAAGTTGTGCAGGCCTTGGATATAGCTTTCTAAATCAGTCCATTCAACAATTTTGCTTCATGATAAGAAAGTGCTTTTTGAACCGGTACATGTTCTCGAACGAGGTATTTGCAGACTTGTTTCAGTAGCATAAATATTTCGATTGTCACTTACCGAAAATCGAGTGAAAACACTAGACTTAATTTAGTGAAAATGTGAAAAGTGAGAATTTGTCATTATCATGACAGAATTTTCAAGATCTACTTTTTGGAATGATTTAACATTACAAGTAAAGATTGCAAAGAACACAAACAGTTCAAAATCACTGCTTAAAACATAGTTTTTAGGACAGCTTATGATTTTGAAATATTATTGCTTTTATGCAGCCCCTAGAATATTGTTATTTACCAAAGTCGAGGACTATTATAAATAACTATAATTAAACAAAAATTGTAGAATGCATTCCAATGTTTTAAATCAAGTCAATTCCTCTAGAAGCAAAATCTGGAAAATCCTTGAAAGGCATTTCGGTACCCTTTTTAATCCGATTGTCAGTACAAGGCTTTGGCCCATCTAAGTCGTGTCTGTATCAATTACAGCTTTGAAAATGTATTCTCTCCCACTGCACGAGACCAAAGGTAATGAAAGGGCAATTCCCATCAGCTTCTTCGCCTGAACAGTAAACCTCAAGAAAGATTTCTTCTCTTCTCACACTCTCGCCGTGCTTATTACACATTCCAAACTTTGTATTAAAAAGTTGACCTTCAAACGGATCTGTGTCCAGGCGTGTTTTTTTATCTCCTTTGATGCCTAGATATAATTTAATCTCTCTGGGGCCTAAAAGCTCACCCAAGCCAGTATATACTGTCATATGACATTGTTGCACGAGCGAAAATTGTTTTCATTTATTTGTGTGACACAAAACTTTTAAGTGGCCAAACCTGTCTGACAAAACCTGAAAAAAATTTACTGTTCTTGATTTTGTTGATAATTTCCGGAAAAATCTGAAAGGGAAAGGCTGAATTGGGGTGAAGCAAAGGGCAGTCGCCTGTATATTATGATTAGAATGTCTAAAAGATGGAAAACCCAAAATAAAAAAGGTCTTGCAGTTAGACAATGGTTACAGATTAGGGATCACTTTAGTTTGTTTACTTTAGTCGAATAATTTGCTATTGAAGACACGAGCGTAATACTGCACTTTATAGAACCACATATGTCAAAGCAGTCAGTAAGATGTGGCAAACCAGTAAGTTTATAAGAAAGGCAACATCATTATGGGGCGTGGGCGGGGGCGGCTTGGGCTGGAGACCGCCAGTAATTGTCAAGCTGTACTGTATTTCCTTTATAAGTGTGCTGAATGGGAAGCAATACAATGGGCAGCCCCCCTATATGAATTTCGTTTAGACGGCACTGCTTTGTCATATGAAACGGTAGCCATGACAATGATTATATGACAATGATTTCATCGTAAGGTCCCTTTACGATGGGAAGACTATGGCTGCCGAATCCTGTTGAAATTTACGTTGTTATCAGTGGCGTTGCCAAGCAACTGGTTGGGATTGGGGATACTTAACCCCTTCCCCACCTTTGTCTAATTTTGTTCCATATTTTTCTTCTAAAATTTGATAAAAATGCCTTAAAGACTCATTGCTAACAATGAGCCATTGCGCTACGCAAGCATCCCATAATGCATTTTTAGACAGTCTGAACTCAATTTTGGTGAATTCGTAGAAGTTTACTTCCATTGTTTGGATCACCACCACGCTCGCAAAGGCCCATTGTTAGCAATGAGTCTTTAAGTAGGAGTAGGTCTTTTTTAAGATTTGCCAAAGGAGAATACACCAGGTATAAAGCAGTAATATGGAGCAAAAGAGCGTGTTCTCATGGGTCACCCAAATTACCCTCTTACTCTGCTGTAGCTGGTGCTGCCAATGGTTTTCATGACATCAAGGTTTTCTAAATACATAAGCCTGCCATTAAAATTCATCACGTTAATTGCTAGTTGAAAATGAAGCTCATTATAAAGTAAAGTATTTTGGAGCATTTTGGTGGCCCGTCAATGAAAGTATCATTAAAATTGCTACTGGGACATTCGCTGTCTGTAATTTATGCTGGAATGAACCTTACAAAAGCCTACTTAAACGCTGAAAATGTCTGTTGTACTTATAATCAAATGTTTGCACATACCACATTAAGAAACTTGACCAGAATAGAAAATTTATCAAGTTACTTTCAGTGCGCAAGATGTAACGCTAAAATGTTGATACTTTCCTAAATAGCTCCTTATACTGACGGACGGTTAAATTCGCCGAGAAAATGGAAGGGTCAGAAATATTTTAATAATCTGGTCTCTTGAAGCGCCTTACAACTACATTTTATTGTGGTTTGAAGAAAATGACCAGTGTGTATGTAGCACAACCTTTATGTTAAATGCTTCAAATCACCTTTGCATTTTGAAATTATTGCATTTCTTGAAAAGTGAGTGTTTTATAGACTGTACGAGAACAAGCTCGCAGTTTTGACCTTATTAGCTTTTATTTGCTGTCAAAAATTTAAAAGTCATACTTATTCAAATTCAGCTAAGTTTGTTTGCAGACCAAGGATTAACAAATTCATAAGACTTGGTTCCATCATAAAAAGATACCCCATTACCTTGAGAGCTTGTCCAGATAAAAACGTTCCAACAAGTTTGAAAAATATTCCATGACTTATTGCGAGCCTTCAGCAAGCATACCTTCAAAATATTAACAACATTTAAATGAATCCGTTTTTGCGGTCTCGTTTATACTGTGAAAGCCTTACTGTGGAACCTGAATTCTGTGCACCTGGTGCAAAAATCTAGGCTGTTGTGACTTGGGTGGGACATACAGTAGATGTATACCACATATTATTTTTTCATACTTTGTAGAAATGTTTGAAAATATGTTCTCGAGTCGATAATCAAATTTCAACTAACTCTTTATATAACTAAAACGTGGCTAGTAAGAAGTCATAGGGTGTCCATATAAAACCACAGAGAGAGACATGTTTTCGAATAAGATTATAATATATATATGTAGTTCTGTATACTCAAGAGAGTGGACCTTCCTCTCTGCCTCGTTCCCTCAACTCTAATCAAAGCTATCAATGAGAGGGCATAATGTGAAGAGATGCCGGAAATGCCAAATATTATGAGACCTCGCCATGTGTCCCGGAGCCCTGGACCCAAATGAAGGTTTTCTGTATCCTTCAAAATAAAGGCTAATGTTACCTTTGCCTTCCTCGTATAGATTATTACATGAAAAAAAAACAATATTATTGTTTGACAGTACTACGCACTTTCTCTATTTTCTATATAATTTCTACATATTTTAATGATTTCATAGAAATATATTGTTGGTATATTAATAACGTCTTTAAGATAATGTTCTTAGGCAAATGTTCCTAACAGAGATTGTTGTATTTATCGCATACTGTGTAATCTTGACTGTCTTGGCAGTACTCACAGTATCTTCTTCTAGCGTTTTCGTTGTTCTCCTCTGCCTGTTGTTTTGCCTTCAAAATTGCTGCATCCGCACTTGAAGCAGCTTTTGCAATGTTTCGAGCTGCAATTGCACTTGATTTTGCCACGTTCTTAGCTGCCACCGATGCACCCTTTGCCATGTGACGCCAAATGTTCCCCCACGGGCTTCTCTTCACGCGCTCTTTCACGTCAACAGATGCTGCGTCAAAGTCGTCGTCTGCTTCAACATCATCCTCGAATGATTTGATAGCATTTGCGTTGCAGCCAATCAGCATTGCAGCTAGAAAAACACAAACGAGAAGCACGCTTAGATATTTCATTCTCAGTTTTACCTTCTGTATCACCAACCTTGCACGCTTGCTTAGCCTCAGTATAACCAATCTTCTTGCAGCTTTTTTACTTTTATATTTTCAGAAAACTTCCGGTTGATGCAAATTAGCTTGCTCTTAAAATCTGAAAGACTTTCAGATAAAAATCTGAAAGACTTTCAGATTTTAGCAATGATGCATTATGGTAAATAGAAGGTGTTTCTCGTTAACGCCATTAATGTTAAAAGCTTCCGTTTCAGCAACTTTCAGCTTCTTTCAGCTCAAAGGTATGTTTGTCAAAGAGATGCGTAACAACCTCGTTAGGTAGAGAATAATATCGGTTCCGTTCAGTTTCCCCGCTTTCACGGGCGTGCTTAACGTTACCCTCAACAGATGCTTAACGTTAAGAGGGGTGGGACTTAGAAATGCCATTTGCCTCGTCAATAACTGTAACCTCACCACCAAATCTCTTCAGCCTCTCTCCCTTCGGCGTTCTGTTGCTGATCTTGCTAATTTTTGTAGCTTTTACCTCGGCCATTGCTCTGAGGGGATCTTAGACACATTCCCAAGTCCCCTGAGACATGCATGCAATACCAGACACTCTTCCAGTGCTCATGCTTTCCAAGTCTCTTTGCCAAACGCACGAACTCAATCCCATAACTCTTCCCTCCTCCCTAGATCTTGTAAACTGTGAAATGCCCAATCTACACTTTTCCATTATCCCAGACTCTTGCAACCTGTCTATATTCTAAACAATAGAACATATCTATATAAACATTTCTAGTCCATTTACTTTTGCTCTGATGAAGCCCCGTCTGCTGGGACAAAATATGAACCGTTATTGATTTTTATGTGTGTTTGTTGTTGTTCATTCTCGTCGCGTTGTGGTGTTACTAATTTACTAAAAAAAAAAATAAGCTTGATCTTTCCTCTCTCTCTTCCTAACCTCGTCTCTTTCCCTTGTTTGGGCTTAGCTATAGGCACTTGAGCTTTTCTCTAACATAACCAACCAAAAAAAGTATGGCTCTTGCCGAAATAGAGAGAGGGAGAGAGAGGGAGAGAAAGGGAGAGAGAAGGAGAGAGAGGGAGAGAGAAGGAGACAGAGGGAGAGAAAGAGAGCTGTCCGAATGGAGAGAGGAATGCAATACATTTTGACTGATTGGGGGTCTACAGCCCTCCCGGTCCCTATGTTTCTTACCCCTAATCTTTAGGAAGTTGGATGCTGATAGGCTTCCCTACCTTTATGCTATTTAATAATTTCACGCATTTCTTTTGCCTCATCTGGAAAGATTTATCTTGTATTGAGTTGTTGGGCTGTTTTAGGGTGGCTCTACCTGTTCTTGGGCATTAGGAATCTAATGAACAACACCTACATTTATCAATGTTTGTGCTAGCTTAAGAGACAAGCCCAACTTTGTCTTCTTTTTACAAAGACAGCAAAATGAAAGGTTTCTTGAGTTTGATGATCACTGAAATTAAACAATATTTTGGTGGTAGAAAAATTGGAAATGTCTTTGAAAAAATCAAACATTTGAGTAAACTAAAGCTTTTCGTCTGACATTCTTCGGAGTTTAAAACGTCAGAACATAGATCGAAAACTCTTCGCTAGGAAATATAGATACCTAGTTGTCGAAATAGGCCAATCAGAACAGCGAGCACATGACTGTTGAGGTTGACCAATCAGTGCCGCTGGCCTGTTGAAAATGTTATTTTGTCTAATAATAGCGGTTTTTAGTGCTTATGTAGATAGATTCCAAAATTGCTAGGTGGAAAGACGATCGGGCTTTACCAATAATCCAAAACATGTCGCCATTATAGTTCTTTGCACAATCTGGGTTTTTTCATTAAATGCTGCCCGATAGCAGAATTGCAGGTTCTAGTTGTACTTTTAGATCTGCAAGGCCTAGGTGGCTGTTCTTTTTAGGGGTAAGTTTTGTTTCTATTTGTAGACGGAACATGTTGTTTTTTTCTATCCTCCAATTTTTGGGTAGTGCGTCCTATGTAGCCAGAATTACACTGGCACGTAAATTCATATACAACAGAACTCTTTCGGGTAGGAACGCAATCCTTTTGAATAGAGGGAGGGGCCTTTTTTGTACCGTAAACAATGCGTGGATTCACGGCAAAGAAACAATTTGTGACGGCTTGTTTTATCTGTTTTTCGAAACGCAAGGAACTGTTACCGATCCAAAGTCGTTTCAGATAGACCGGGCATTTTTGGGGACCAAATTTTACGTCAGCCGAAAAATAGCTATTTTTTCCTTAATTCAAACTGAAATGACATCCTCTGGATAGCCGTTCTCCAGAAAAATCGTTTTCAGTTGTTCAAGTTCCGAGTCGAGTTTAGACTTGGAACAAATCATCAGTGCCCTATGTATAAGTGTTTTGACGAGACTGATTTTTCTTTGTTTTATGGATGTCCTAAAACTGTTTAGCTCTATATACATATGACCCTGACCTACATACGTTTGTCCTCCGCTTTTCCTTCGTAGCTTATAAAAACAAAAATGACCGCCAATTGGTAATCAAAATATCATAATATCATTAAGAGCAGTAAGTGGTGCTGCAGAGGGGGCTTGGGGGCTCAGCCCCATCTTGTTGAAATTAAGAATAAAATTTAGTGGGCAGCCCCCCTTAACATGCAGAAACATTTTGGGTAGAGCAAATTTTGTGTAGGAAACCCTTTATTATGTCAAAAATTTTGCGTGGAGGATCAATTTCGTATCCGACTTTTGAGTTCTTGAATAGTTTGAACGATTTCATATAAACAACAGAGAATATTTAATACAAATACAACTGCCGTACGTTCGAAAAGTTAATAAAATTAAGCGATTTTTTGGTTTATATTCTAATAATTGTAACATTGAATCTCAATGAGGATAACAAAATGATTGCTTTATCATGATTGAGTCCATCAACAAAACAGGGAATGGAGTCTCCTCCTGCCCTTTGAGACCATCAAGTAAATTCTTGCAAGGGTAAAACAAGTTTACAAGGGTCACATGCTCTGATCATCTTCAAAACCATCATAGGAGATTTAAAAAATAATATGATTATTTATGCCTAGATATTGCATTTATTTCACGTCACTTCAAGTGTACGACATCGGTGAGACTAGCAAGAGAAGGGGGCGTATTGCAGAAATATTTTGTTTGAGGGAGGCCTATTGAAAGACGGGGGCTCAATTAAAAGGGGGCTAAATAGTGCTTTGATAATAGATTGGACTTGGACATGGGTGTGACAATAGGTGTAGCGTCTAGAAGTTGCCTGCATCAGAGGCCCTTCTTCCTATCTTTTTTGGAATAAACCTCTCTGTAAGGATAAGGTCAGTTCTTTGGCAAGTAGACTCTAGTGCGAAATCGCACCAATTTTTTTCCACTATAGTTGAAGAAAACACAGGAGGGACAGTATAGCAAGCTAGTTTCCATACCGTTGTGGGATCCACAAAATATGCAAATGTCTATTTTTTTCTCGCGCTGTAGTGCGGGAGTTTTATACCGCTTGAAAAACATCAGCATCTTATTTGTTTCGTTTAAGCAAGACTCCAGTCCTTGGCTTTTTGCTAGCCTTTTGCGTAGGATCAGAGATTAGGAAAAATTTGTTAACTTTCCAGAAATCCAAGAAGCGCAGTACTTTTGTATGAAAATATGGAATATAAAAAAATCAAGGCGGAACCAAAATACGACATCAGCGCTGATGAAAGTCAACTAGTTAATTTTATATAGCCTGAAGTTTAGTCAGACTTAGGTCATAATCTATGTTAAAATTACGGGGATTCCCCGATTTCTATGAAAGCAAACTTGAGGTCACGGGGGTTCCCCGATTTCTATGAAAGCGAACAGGTTATTTCTCAATTTTTGCTAGGCAATTTACAACAAATCTTTAAAAAACATGCCAAATTCTGTGAAACATGAAGGAGGTAAACATGCGTGAAACTAAATCGATACCGATTTATGGAGACGAAAGACTTTTGATGGATTATGTAGTGCATTTACTGCAAACTTTTATGAGAAGACATTTTATTCAAGGGTTTGTACAATTACCGTTTCCTGATTATGGCAGAGTATTCGTCAAAAGGCCCAATTTTGTTAGCCGGACTTTGAGGCGATCAGAGTGTCAAAATCCTGAAGATTTTCTATGTGACTGTTCTGCTTGTGTTTCATGGTTAGAAAGCAGTTTAAGCCCACTAAAGACAGTCGATCTTTTCAAGAAAAAAACAAAAAGATGATGAATTCAATTTATATGATGTTTTGATGAAAGACAACGGAGATATTAACAAAACACGGGAACTCCAGTTGCGTAAGGGCAATTGAAGCCAAATGTGACTCAAAATAACGTTTTTTCATTAATGCTATCATAGATTTCAATCCAATAATCTGATAGTACACATCTTACATAACCTACCGTTTGTTGCCAGCGATTTGCTTGGAAATGTAAAAATTAAAGGCTAGCAGGCACTTTTTGTTACAGCGTATCAGGGATGTCAGCAAGCAAAATTTGAAGATCCCGAAAAATCTGGCCCTGTTTTCTACAAAAAACTTTAAAATATCAGTTTTTGTCTGCGAAACAGCCTGAAATTACTAAACTTCACAAATATGTTTCTAGGAATGTCATTTGATTTATACATTCACGAGGCCTGTACGCTATAACGAAGAAAATCTTAAGCGCGTGAAATATCATTATCCAAACAAAAGAACAAGTTACAAGACATGTAGTCATTAAATACAATGATTTTTTACTTGAATCTACAGTTACATTTATTTATTTTTTGCTGTTCGCTCTTCTGGTGTTTGTTTAACTTTGAAAGGTAAAATTCCTTTGCAGCAGCAAAGATCTTCTGCAACAGCATAAGTTTTCAAAAAATTTCAAAAAAGTAAGAGCTTTCAACGCATAAAGTCAAAAGGGAATGCAATGGTAGAAATTTCGATGCAGGAAGCATTATTAAGTTTTCAAATAGTGATTCATAATGTGCATTCAAGCCTTCCTGGGGGTCATTGATGATTTTTGATGATGATGATGATGATGGCCAGAAATTTATCGCCGGATAGGCCTCTTTTGTTTTCCGAGATGCCAGCTTTATTGAGAACAAATAGTGATTGCAAATTTCCTTTTACATCCTCTTGACGAACTCTAGCGTCATAAGGCCTGGTCGCTCGTTTCATGCAGTAACCGCCACTAAATATTTTGGAAAAGAAGTACGCTTGAGTCTTGGAGACTCGACAGTCTCTTTAAGCAATATCACCAAGAACCGCACCGCAAAGCAGTGCTGAGGTTTTGGCGGACTGTATGCCATCCAACAGAGTTACAGTAAAAGTATTGAGTAAAGAAAATCAAATATTAAATATTTTATTTCGTATAAGCAAATTACTATTTTTAGGCTTACTTTTGTTGCGTTTGATTAATTCCATTCTTAATAGTCCAGCTGTTAACGACCAAAATAACCAGAGTTCAAGTTAGTGACAAAAGCACAAAAAATTTACAGATTACTGATGATCCTAGAAGTAATAAATCTTGATATAGTGCCAAGCCAAATTAAGTCCAGGAGCTTAGAACTGCGCATGCTTCAAAATGAACAGCATGGAAACGAGGCTTTATATTAAAAATGTTTCAGTCTCACCCAGTCGATGTGGGGTGTTTACGTAAAGGTTTCAAAATATATATAAATAGTGATTTCATGTTCATAATTTGCATTCAAGCCTTCCAGGGGGGTTCAAGCCTTCCATTTGATGATTTTGATGATGATGATGGCCAGAAATTTATCGCCGGATAGGCCTCTTTTGTTTTCCAAGATGGCAGCTTTATTGACAACTTGCAGTGACTGCAGGTAAGAAAATATTTTGGTGATAGATTAATGTTGTTAGATACAATAATCAAAAAAAGGTGCTAGTATCTATCGAAAATGTGAACGATAATAAATAAAAGTAGTAATTTTGTCTCAAACGGGATTTGAACCCGTGTCCACTGAATTATGATAACTACTACACCGGGACAGGTCGGTGGCTTTGTGACACTATTTTTTGTATCTTTTGCGGAAAAAATTGGACTTATCTCTTTATATTACTCATAGAATGTGAGCATGTTAGTCAATTAAACTAGCAGTTGTACCTATGTTATCAATAAAAAATTGCATTTACCTATCCAATTTCGTTTTAGTTGATCATGGACTGGAAAAAAAGGAATAATCTGCCAGAAGACTAAAAAGGAAGACTTACATTGCCCAGCAAATTCTAAAAGGAAAGATGCAAGTGCGGGGTACAAGAATTTTAAAAAATTTAGCGTTGTTATGATAGGGCACTTCAACTTAGCAGGGGATGAAAGCATTAAGATCCAGAAAGTGAACAGAGGTTCCTGGCATAATTCTGGCAGAGATTTATTTAATGATACAAAGTTACAGCAAGCCGAGAAGCGAGCTTTAGGTGTTGTTGAAGAGGAAGAGGAAAACAGTGATGATAACAAGAATCAAAGCCACTCAAGCTCGTGAAATCTAGGAGATCTAGCAGCCATTATTTTGACCCACAAAGACTAGCAGCCCTAATTCTGACCCACAAAGACTAGCAGCCCTTATTTTGACCCACAAAGACTACAGTGGTTCTTTTGTGAAGAAGATAATTCTCCTGAAAATTTGCATTGTGCATCCACTGTACAAATAACCGAGAACGCTCTTGCAGTTCTTCTCAAAGATAACAGGTTGGTTGCAAATAGCCTGTGCTCCAGACCCCTAACTTGAAAGTAGAGGGTCTGTGTAACCGAGAGCAATATCGCGTACGGGGATTGAATTGATTTTTTTGCATATTAATCACACATCTGTGTAATCATGCAAGAAGAAACGCTAATATTTTGATCGGTCGTGGCAGTATGATAAAGATTTATTTGTTAGAAGAAAAGTTTTGAAAATGTTGCACTGCTATTTGATGTTGAAGATCTTCATTGGGACAATTCATTGGTTCTGACCAAAACAGATTAAAGATGCTGTGGGCCAATCTTGCTCATTTTACAGCAGTTGATGGGGAGTGAATCTACCACATGCAGCAATCGAAGAAAAATTTACTTGGCAACCAATCGATTTGCTTTGAGTAAACATTTGCATGGTAGAAGATGTTTATTTACTAGTTTGGCTTGAATTTAATGTAAAGAAGGATTTTTTGGGACAAGATCTAGTGGATACGATGATGGAAAACATGAGATTCGGAGTAGCGATAAGTAATGGAAACCGAAAAGTAGACAAGACGCTTTGGCTTCAAGCCGTAGAGAATGATCTCTGGTTATAAACGCAAGTTTACACACAGTGGAAATTGCTTAAGACTAGTAAACATTTATCATTGATCCGGACAAGGCTGCCTAACTGAGTGGACTAATTTTTCTAGCAATGTGAGGCAGTAGGCCTAGGCCCATGTCTTGTACTTTTCATAAATTCTTTTCATCATGATAGTGATTGCTTTGCTATAAACACGTCTTCTAAGTTCCTTGTTTGAAATCTGAAATTTTGATTTTAAAAATGTTTTTAAACGTTCATTAACACATAAGAGAAGAGTTATCAGCAAAAAGCGTGTTTTAATTAAGGCCCCGTTTACACGGGAACGGATCCACATAGATCCGTACCCAAACTGGCTACGATAGGCCTTGCGTTTACACGGGCACGGTAGGATCCGTGCTTTTCTGGGTACGATTCGAAAGCGAATCCATTTGGATCCGTACCTTCGTCGGCGCCGTATAAACGGGAAGATACGGATCCTTAAAGGCACAGCAGAAAAACGAGACTGTTGCTGGGGTCAATGGAGGCTATTTCAATCTTGTTGCTCTATAAATTTAAATATAATGTCTTCTTATTTCGACATAACAGTCCCCCAGTCTTCTCTATTTTGCATTTTAGCAGCTTTGTAATCCATAAAGCTGTCTCCTCGTCTGTCAATGTAAAAAATGAACGCTTATCGTTGCTTGCAAATAACGCTATCTTAGATATTCTCCCGCCAAAATGAAAATTAACAATTACCTTGTCATTGCGCATGCTTAAAAAAAGCGATTCGATTTTGGTCCGTTCCCGTGTAAACACTTTATAGTTTAGGATCTGATCTCGTGTAAACGCTTGTGGATCGTACCCATATCGTACCTAAAAGGTCCGGATCTTTTGGATCTGTTCCTTTTTCTCTCGTGGAAACGGGGCCTAAAATTCATCCTCCGGTTTTTGAAGTGTTCCCATCCTCGCGCCGGGCGACAATTATCTAGGCATCATGACATATTCAATGCTTTCAGACATCATTGTGGCATTGTCTGACAAAATAAAGAGAAACTTTGAATTTGCACACATTTCTTGTCACTATTTGAATGCGTAAACTGTCGCAGCAAACAACGCTCTGTTTACGCCATTGCTCACTTTTGTCATCTCAAAGCCGCATAATTTACGCATAATTGATTTACCCAGAGATCCTGGGAAAAGCTCGTGCAGACCCTCTACTTTCAAGTTAGGGGGGTCTGGAACACAGGCTAGTTGCAAAGCTCTCTTCTAGCGATTTAGTTGCTATTGAAACCAGTGGCAGCTCCAGCCTGGGATAAATGGGGGGACAAAAGGTGTGTCAGGGACCACGCCCTTTTGTACCACGCCTTTTTCCCGTGATTGAAACATTTTCTTCCAGAGGATACAACTCTTATCTCCCAAGAAATGTAATTTAAATGTGACGATCTAGATAAAGTACATATCCTCCCCCCCCCCCCGAAGTTTTCTCATCAGGTTCGCAAGAATCTAAAGGACCGACTTTCTGAAAAAGTGGGGGGGGGGGGACTAGTCCCTCCCATCCCCCCCCCCGTGGCTCAGCCACTGATTGAAACAAAGTATCATAAAAACTACCTAGTCAATCTTTACAACAAAGCTAAACCTTTGAGGAATCTAAACTAAAAGCTAGTTCCTAATTTACAGCCTATGATCAGCTTGGATGAGCTTGCTTTGCTGCATTGATAGGATATATTGATAGTCTAGACATTAATAATCCAGCGGTACTTACATAATCAGAACTAGAAACGTTTTTCCAGCACAAATTACAGGAACTTAGAGCAAAGCAAAACACGAAAATAGGAAGGTTGTTAAAGAGCTCTCTGACGTAACTGCGCACACGCAAGGTAGGGGAATCCGTCTAATCTTGAAACTTGCATGGGCAGCTAATATTTCGAGGAGAGACATACTTAGGGTGAAGAACTTATAGGAACGACTTTTAGTGTTGATTGGTTCCTATATGATTCCTTTGACTTTCCATCGTTGATTTTCTTCGAATCTTATTTAACGTGCAGAGAACACGGAGCCAGTGAGAGAGACAGTGTATTGCTGTATAACTCTGATCTTAACTGAACTGAACTGAACTGACTTTATACAAATTAAGATACTTATATACAGAAATCAAATTGCTGACTAAGGATTAATTAGGATGATGTAATTATGATGCAATGGAAAGGGAAAGATCTAGACTTTGGAAGAAGTAAGCATGACATAGATGTGGGAACGTGTGTACAATGGTGAAGGAAATACCTTGTGGTATGTGATGCTATAAATGACGTAAGGCATGATCGAGAAAGAAGTAGGAATATGGCCTATTTTACAATATTAAAATCACTACAAACTCTTTCGATGGAACTTTTTCTTCTGAATGCCAGACGAATCTATCCCAAGCTCTTTACTGACATTAGTTGGAATGCTTTTAAGGGACCATTCACCAAAATAGATCCGTCTGATAGCCAGGCATGTCTTTCCATTGCTCAGTTAGTCGTCTTCAATTGCGTATCTCGTTGTCGATCACACCATATACGATCAAAGTAGTACCCGCTGCCATTTTACAAAGTGTAACAAGAGACAGGTCCCTGATGGATGTCTTTTACAGGCTTGGTCTCTGTGTGTCATACGACCTCTTCCTTACTGTGTCTACAGAAATAACAAAGAGTGTTGTAGAAAGGTAAGGTTTAGCAAATGCATGCAAGGCTGTCTGCATGCATGTAATGGTCGTAGCCGTCTGCATGCATGTAATGCAAGAGGAAATCTGAAAAATAACAATTTTTCCAAGCGCATAATGTATTTCAATTATTTACCACGCCACATGAGAGACTTGGCTAGAGAGCTAGTTGAAATTTCTTAATAAGAAAGAACTTAAGGGATGCTGTGAATGGATGACTGCAGTTTATCTTCGTTAATATCATGGATGTTATGTATGTAAGCATTTTTGTAGTATATTATCCAGTCGCGTATTTCATATTCATTTGTTCCTCTTAGGTATGAGCACGGAGGAGTCGTTTGCCCATCAAAGCTTAGAAAAGAGCTGTTTACCAGTGCCACTGTAGATAACTTCGACCATAACACAAGTTCCACTAGTTCTCAGTCATCTTTTCATGACACTATCCTCAGCATCCATGAATTTCCCTTGCATCCATGAAACCGGCCATAACAGCCATTTTAGAACTCGAAGAGAAGTTGACACTTTTCAGTTCAGTTTTTTTTCTCTTTTTTTCTTTCTCTTCTTTTTTTTCCTCTTTCACTTCTTTTGACCCCAATATGTC